ATAACCTTGAAAAAATGCCTTAGCTTATTCAGACCCTCCCTTTGTCCCTAGCCAGGAAGGTGTCAGAGAACAGTGGTCCTCAAAGCCTACAGACACAGGAAGAAGGCTTTAGAAAGCTCTCTGAAAATGTCATAAATCTTATTGAGGATCTAAAGCAGGAAGGTTAAGAGGGCAGCCCCAAGCACAGTTGTACAGGGCTGTCTATCCTCCCTGCATCCTCTGCTCCCACCCTTGAGTGAGCCCATGGTATCCGGGGACAAGGCCCTTCCATTCTTCAGGGAGCCTTACTGGGCAGCTTAGCTGGGGGGCTCTGGAGGGCCAAATGCAGGCGGTAGCTCTGGGGTCAGATTTGGCCCTGGGTGAGGGTAGGGAGGTGGCTTGCCTTTGATGCAAGGGAGCCCTCCACTGACCCAGGTGACAAGTGGGAGGTGGGCACCAGAAAGGAGAGGACAGTTACGTTTGTGACAGCTGAGCTGCTGGCAGAGTGAAGGTTGGGTGTGGGATTTGACTCTTGGAGGCAAAGAGCTGCTGCTCAAGTTTTCTCTAAAGGATGTTGCTTAAGGGTCTGTGACTTCAAACAACTCCCTCTGACATTAATGATGTTAATCTTGGGGGAAGAAATTCTTCATTTTAAAGTTCACTGTGAGACCCAGAGGCAGCTTGAAGCAGACATTTTCTTTACCAGGAAATTTCCAAGGGCTCTCCTGCTTTTGAGCAACTTACCTAGGTTTTCATATTTTTATGAGACTCGTTGCTTTCAGCCTCTTTGAAGTACAATGAAAAAAATATTTTCCCACCTTAGTAATAGAGAGTAGTACCTTCATGCTTTACAAATAAGGGTTTTCACCAAGTGTGTGGAACTGGGGATTCATTTAATGATGGCTAGATGGAAGTTTGTGGCTTATAAAGAGCTGCTTTCTAAAAATAGACAATTATCAGTGCAATTCATTCACCAGGAAAGGGCACAACAGAACAGTCCTGAAAAATAGGCACAGGCCAGAGCCACGTCTCCTGAGCTTTTTGGAGTAATGGACCCATCAAGAATCTAATGGAAGATATGAATGCCTCCGAAAAGTGCACAAAATGCCCAGCCACACATATTTTACATATCATTTTAGAGGGTTCGTGAGCCCGAGGAAAGCTCCTGAACAAGAACACAGAGCTGGGAGGAAGCGAGGGATCATTTACATCACAAAAGAACTCTTGGCTCCAAAAAAAAGGATTTGCTCTGGGCTCCAAAGTTCCAGTTGGTTTATTTGATTTGCAAATATTCCATCTCTATGAGACTTCACAGCTAAGACACTGTTTAATCAGTTCAAGCCTACTTCCTTCACAAATCCATGAATGAAACAACGAATTCTTTCAACGAATTATTATTGTGCGCCGGGCAAGAGAGTGAGTCGGGTTGTTCCTGGCTGTGTCTCCAGCACCTAGGACAGCTCTCAGTACTAGCGACTGGATCAATGTAGGAACGAATAAGTAAGCTAAATACAAAATACTATGAAGAAAATGAGTGCTGTAATGGTGGCTAAAGGGTGGGGGTAGAGGGAAGAAACCTCAGTGGAAGGAGGCAGGGAGAGATCAGGGAAGGGGTCCACAAAAAGGAGAGCTTTAAGCTGAGCCCTGAAGGATGAGACCTGGGGAAGAGTATTTCAGAAGGGAAGACCAGCATGTGCAAAATCTCAGGTCAGGAGAGGTGTGCCATGGTGAGGACACGTGATTGTCCTGGAGCATAAGAAGGAACCAGACATAGGGCTTTCTAGGCCAGGGTAAAGAGCTGCTTCTTTAATTCTGGATGCTATGGGAAGTAATTGGAGGGTTTAAGCCATGAAGGAATATGATTTGATCTACATTTTCAGAAAAATTGCTCTGGTTGCTGTGTAAAGAATAAACCGTTGGGAGTGAAGGACAAAGAGGACAGCTGGAGGCCAGTTGTCTGGGCAAGAGATGATGGTGGCTGTTTGATTTGGGGGGATGGTGAATTAGGGATGTTGAGAAATGACTGGAGATGAGTGATCCCTGGAAGAAGTCAACCAGGAGTGGTGATAAATCTGATGTGGACAGAGGAGACTCAAGGATGGCCCCTGACTTCTGGCTAGAAGGATGGTGTTGGGCAGGCAGAAATTTTCCTTTTCCCTTCTAGGTTCTTCTGGCTGGTCTAAATTGACATGAGTCAGATTAAAAGGAGAAAATCAGTTTAATTTCATACATTCGGGAACACCATAAACATGTGGGTCAGAGACAGAAGGGTAAAATGAGGTATATATTGACATCCTGAGCTAAGGAATGGGATGGGGCTTGGGGCTTCCGAGGACAGGAGGGTCATTCACAGGAAGATAATAAGAAGAGCAGATGTTTGATAATTAGACGTTTGCCCTGCTATATGGATAGGGCCACTCAGATAAAATTTATTTTTGGTAATAACTCTTTTTCTGGGAAACGTCTTCAATTTAAATTCTTCCAGGTTGTTAAGGGAGCAGCAGTAGTTTCTCTTGAGCCCACAGGGTCTCAACTGCCTTTAGCTCAAAAGTGGCACATTTCGGGGGAGGGTCGTTCTGAACCCCTACAATGGTGATGTTATTCACAGAGACGAGGAAAACGAGAGAATGGGTTTTGAGGGGGAAATCAGGAGTTCCGAGTTGGATGAGTTGGATTTGAGAAGTTGATTGGACGTCTAAGTGGCATGTGAGGGAGGCAGTGCCATTGGAGGAGTCTGGGGATGGAGGATGAACTGGGATAGGTCACAGCATAGGGGGCATTAAATCTAGAGAGATTTGGGAGCCCGGAAAGACCAAGTGACCATAAGTTTTATTTATTTTTTACTTATTTATTTCTGGCCACGTGGCTTGTGGGATCTTAGTTCCCTGACCAGGGATCGAACCCAGTCCCTCAGCAGTGGAAGCGCAGAGTCCTAACCGCTCGACCACCAGGGAATTCCCTCTAGTCTTTTCTTAATCCAACCCACGCTTTAAAACTCAGTTCAATCCCTCTCTGGCATCACCCTGGGGACAAGGGTCCCATCCCCCACCCCTGTTCTGCTTTGTGCTGAAAACCTCTTGCCCTGCACAGCATTGCACATGCATCCATGTTGTCCCCCAAACCACAGAGAACATGAATCAAGGTCTTCAAGTGCCCTGCTGAAGCCCTCTCTATACTTGAGGTGAAGGAGGACTCCCCCCATACCAAATCTTGGGCCTTTTATGCTGTGGACGAGGTGTGCTTTTGAAGTAGTCCTGCATCGTGGGCTTGTGTCCCACCCTGGAAAATGGGGCAGCTTGTATTGATAAATCTGGTGGCTCTGCCCTAACTGCCTTTTGAATATCCCATTCCACATGTATTTATGGCCCTTTGTTTTTGTTTTAATGGAGTATAGTTGATTTACAATGATGTGTTAGTTTCAGGTGTACAGCAAAGTTCATCAGTTATGCATATACATATATCCCTTCTTTTTCATATTCCTTTCCCATATAGGTTATTGCAGAATACTGAGTATTGTTCCCTGTGCTATACATTAGGTCTTTATATTACTTATCTATTTTCTATATGGTCGTGTGTATATGTTAATCCCAATCTCTTAATTTACCACTTCCCCCGACGTTTCCCCTTTGGTAACCATAAGTTTGATTTTGAGATTTCTGAGTCTGTTTCTGTTTTGTAAATAAGTCCATTTATATCAATTTTTTTTTACTAGATTCCACATTTAAGTGATATCATATATTTGTCTTTCTCTGTCTGACTTCACTTAAGTATGATAATCTCTAGGTCCATCCACGTTGCTGCAAGTGGCATTATTTCATTCTTTTTTATGGCTAATATTCCATTGTATATATGTACCACATCTTCTTTATCCAGTTATCTGTCAATGGACATTTAGGTTGTTTCCATGTCTTAGTTATTGTAAACAGTGTTGCAATGAACATTGGGGAGCATGTATCTTTTCAAATTATGGTTTTCTCCAGATATATGGCCAGGAGTGGGATTGCTGGATCATATAGTACAAAGGATGGGAGGTGGTGGTGGCCTTCACGTGGGCCCCACCCAGGGGCAGGGTTTAGAAAGCGAGCAAGAGGAGGTGAGAGCAACATCGGAGGCCATGGGGCAGAAAGCTCGGGGAATTGGCATCTAAGAAATTTCAATGAGTCTCTTTTTGATAAAAAGGGTACTTTGCCTTGGTGATGTCAGAATGGGCAAATGTTCCTTTTTTTTTTTCTTTTTACCAGCTAACATATGCAAAGATGTTTGTTACTTGCTCCCTCTCTGAGCCTCATTCTAAGGAGTGGTGACTAGACTTTGGAGTAGTGTGGGGCCCTGAGAGCCAGAGAGGGGTGTTGGCCAGAGTTGTGGCAGGCAGTAGGAAGGCAGCATAGGTCCTAGAGGAGAGGAGGGATATCACGAGTCCCAAGAGGTGAAGATCTGGCAGGTTAGGCAGGGCTGAAGGCTGAGAAATCAGTGAGATGCTGCTCCCACCTGGATGGCAGGAGCTATGATAAGACAATGTATCTGTGTTAAAATTAAAGTGAAAATTAAGAACACGCCTCCCTCTTAGTCAGCACTTTTAAGGCTGTCTTATTTGAAGTTCAGAAAAAGAGTTAAAGAATCTATTTAAATGCAAATGTGCCATAAAACCAGCAATTCATCTTCGAAATGCTCTCAGCCCTTCTTTCATCAGGCTCTGCTCATAATAGTGTTATTTTTTTCATCGTAGAGAATAATATCTCTTGAGAAGGCCTGTGTCGATGGAGTGCACCTGGTGTGATTACCTGGGGTTGGCGAGGGACTGGTGGTGGTGCGGGTGGAATCTGGGACTTCTTCTGGGGCAGAATCAGCACATGTGCCCCTGTGCCTTCTGGGATGGGCTGAGCAGCACAGAAGCTGGGCATGGCATCTACCTAGTGGGACTGGGGGTTCTGGGCTCTGGGGGTTCCTCTTCCTGGAGTTTCCTCCCTGGCCTTCCTGATTATAGTGCTCCAGAGGAGCCAAAACTTACCTCTGTGTTCCAGTGAGCAGGAGGATGTGGTGCCCAGACTCAAGGACTGAATTAGACTCTGTTCAAAAGGATGCAGACACAGCACCTGACTCAGAGGAAGTGACCTGACAGTGCTGACCACAGACCCTTGTGCTCAGTGCAGGAAGGAGGAGGGAAGGTAATTGACCCTCACTGTCTGTGAAACCTGTGTACCCTGTGGGGCCCTCCTAGATACAAATGCCCCTCTGTGCTGCAATTTTTTTGTTTGTAGAAAAAGGTTTTACTCTCCTAGGCCTTCCCTGATTTCCAAAGGGCAGACTCAAGCAGTTACTAATTAGGGAAGTGAGGAAATGCAGAAACAGAGGAAAAGCAGTCAAGAAACAATAGTTCAGTGATAAAACAGAGTCCTAGTCCCTCCTCAAGGGATATACATAACAATCTGACACACATCTTTGAGTTGTTCTTTAGGAGCTAAGGTGGAGGATGGTGACTACATGCTGAGCACAAACACTGTAGACCCCAGACCCCAAAACGTTGATGATTAAGATTCCTGAAACATCATCCTATTACCTCACCACCAACCAAGCAGAAGAAAGTCACCCTCCCTGCAACCCTCACTCCAATTGTTGCCTTTAAATACCTTACACCCCAGCCAGCCAATAAGATGGATCTGAGGCAAACCTACATCTCCCATCTTCTGGGTTGGTGCCCTCTTGATCAATAACCCTTTCTTTGCTCCAAACTCTGGCATTTCCTTTGTTTAGCCTCACTGTGACTGTGCATGGGCACACGAACTTGGGTTCAACAACATCTGTGTACATAGGGGATTGGGCACCAGGCAGCTAGGACAGAGCTTGGTGGGGAATCTAGCATGGTGCTGAGTGAAACCATCTGCTTCTCAGAGGCAGGAGGGCCTTTGTCCCCATCAAGGCCTGGGCCCCTCTGGGAGCAGCCAGGGGACCCAAAGCATGTCCAATGGCCACAGATACCCTTGTGCCTGTGCCCTTGACTAAGAGGAGACTCTGCACTTGAAAGCCCCCCAAACCCACAGAACTATCTAAGAACTACCTGGCTCAAGGTGAACTCTTGTTAGGGAGCAGGCAAAGCCCACCTGGCACAGCTCACCTCATCTCTGTTGCTGAACTAGGGGCACCTCAGAATGAGGCCACGGTCCTGGCACCAGGATCAGGGCCCAGCCCCAGTGGGTAAGCAATCAAAGTGTGTTGAGTTTTTTGAAACTGCTGTATAGTTTTGTAATATGTATAGGTGCAGAATTTCTAGATATTAAGATGTTTAATATAAAATTTCCTTCATACAGTTCTTTTTACTTCTGTTTATTCAGAGTCATGCAGAATTTGGTTTGAAAGATCCTATGCTAAGGTAGGTTGTTCGCCCATATTTTTTCTGCCCCCTCCTCAAAGAACCCACTTCCCTCAGGACTCACAAGTGGAGGCCAACCTTGTGAAGAAGGAACACAGGGCTGTGAAAAACCCCACTTCCATTCTTCTTCCTCTATTTTGGAGACACCATGGGGGTGGGCATATTTCGGGTCTGGAATTGCTTTCTGCCTGGGAGAAGAAGCTGGAGCCAGGGACAAAGAGCTGGAGCTCAGGGGCTCTTAGAGTAAACTGGTTCAGGCAAGGGTGGTATCCATGAAGCTCATCTCTTGGGAATACAGCCAGGCAGGGACAGCCTTCAGAGGACTGACTCTGCAGAGGAGAGGGGCCCCCACCTCTAAGAGTGAAACTGAGTATGACCCTATGGGGCCCTCTTGGGTACAAAAGCCTTTCTATGTCCCCCAGTTCTTGTTTGTAGGAAAAGGCTTCAGCTTCCTAGACCTTTCCTGAGTTCCAAAGGGCAGATTCAAACATTTACCAATCAAGGAACTGAGGGAACACAGAAACAAAGGAAAGGCAGTCAAACAATAGTGCAGCAGTAAAGCAGAATCCTAGTTCCTTCTCAAGGAACTCCTTATCTTTGAGTTCTTCTGCAGGAACTAAGGCCTCCATCCAGGTAGAGGTTTGTAATTTCAGGCTGAACACCAGATTCCTAGAACACCACCCTGTTACCTTACCACTAACCAATCAGAAGAAAGTCACACACCCTGCAGCCCTCACCCCAAATTTGCCTTTAAACACTCTTCCCCGAAAAACATCAGGTCTTTTGAGCACCAGCTCTCCAGTCTCCTTGCTTGGCCCTTGCAGTACACCTTTATCTGCTCCAAACTCTGATGTTTTGGTTTGTTTGGCTTCACTGCGTGTTAGGTACACGAACTTGCATTTGACAACAATTTTGGCGAGCCAGCCAGGAGCCCATGCCTGTGACAGGTCAACCCTGGCTGGGGGCAGTCCCTTCCCTGAGTCCCCAGCAGCTGCTAAAGCTCATTTTGTTTCAGGGAACTCAGAGCGACTCTCTCTGACAGACACCAACCACCACAGCACAAGGCTGTTTGGAGCTGAGAAATGTCCTGATCTACAGTTCACCTTTACTTTTGTTTTGGTGTGAGTCACTCCAGCTTGTGCAGGCTGGGAATTCTGTCCCCACCAACTGGGTTCATTTCCTTTCAGGAATTGAGCCACTCTGGCTCATTGTGAGCCAATTCAGACCCATTCCCTCTTGGGAGCTGGGCCAATCTCTTTGGAGGCCTCCATCTGGGAATGGGAGTGGAATTTGGACTCTATCTCATCTGATCTTTTGTCTGTGTGACTGTATTTGTTGTTTGTATCTTTGTGTGTATATCAGTACTTGCATTGGTTGGTTGAGACATCTCTGGTAACAGAGATTGCGTGTGATGACACCAAAGTATTCGTCCCTATTGCATTGCCTTCACCTACAGTGGAGCATTGGTTGGGAATTTTCCCTTTCTAGGGCTACGGAACTGTGACCCTGAGAGACTATTCTACATTGCAGTATTTGCTGTTTGCTTGATATTTGACAACACCAGAAGTGAGTAATTAAATATGGGTGATCAGAGCTCTGTTCCACCTTGTAGTCCCCTAGGGTGTATATTGCAAAACTGGGAGACCTTCAGCTATCTTCCACGAATGAAAGAAAATGATTTTTTATTGTAATACTGCTTGGCCTCAGTACTCCTTGGGGTCTGGAGAACAATAGTCCCTAATTGTTCTCTAAATTATAACACCATCTTTCAACTAGAACTGTTTTCTGAAAGGGAAAGGAAATAGGATGAACCTCCTTATGTTTAGGCTTTTATTCTATTGTAACAAAGTGAGTCTTTTGGAATTGCTTTGGCTTTTATCTTGGGGGTGTGTGTGAGTGTCTCAGTACATGAGTCCAAATCCTGTTTCTCTTCCTGGTATTGACCTTTGTCAGATGGTCCTGGTAACTTAAATGCTGGTTCAAGTTTCTCTGGAAGTGAGGCATGTGAATGATATGTATTACTGTCTATTACTGTTATTGATCTAAACTGAATTGGCTATTTAGGAACTGAAGGAAATCTCACCCTAAAAATGGCCAAGATGGGGCTCTTGACATTCTAAAACTGTCTTTTGCATGTGCAATTAGTAGAAGGTAGCTTTCTAGAAGGAACTTGTACTTCTCTCCCTGTGCCTTTGAGATGTAAATGATCTACCTGGGCTCTCAGGAACTTTTATCTAATCATCTGTGATCCCTGAGACTGAAGAAAAAGAAAAAAAAGAGGCCTTTTAAAACTCAAGCAGGAAAACTGTGGGTTATCTGTCTGTGTCTATACAGATGTATGTATGTTTATGTGTACATTATAAATATGATGTGTCTCTGCCTCCAAATGGCATTGCCAAGATTGGTTTGTGGATGAGCTCTGTTTAAAAGGCTTAAAAGAAATTAAGCACTTATATAAGTTCTCAGAAATATAAAAGAAACTGGCCAGAATGAATTTTAGGTTCACATGATCTTGGAGATATTCAATATTAAATTGATATCTGGTATTAAAGCTAGTGGAAGCTTGTTGGTTTGATTAATATAAACATGTCTTTCGAGTCATCAGTATTAAGTATAATATTTTTATTGTACTTACTAAAAGTCAACAAGTTCATATTGTTTCTGTTATAAAATTTGTCAACAAGAAAAATGATATGATGAAATGAGTAAATTAAATGTAAATAAGATAAGCAGGTTTTTTAGGTAAACTTTAAAAAATAATTTAAAAAATAATAATGAGGGAAACATTTCAGTATGCCAGAAAAAGTAGGATGTGTGTTTTCAGTAAAAGAAGGTATGAGGAATGGAAATGCATTTTGTTAAAGGAAAAAAAGGTAGTTTTATCCCAGAGCTGGTTGTTTCTGAATGAAAAAGAAAATAAGGGACAGAATAATATGGATACAGAAAGTTGTACAAGGTTTGTTGAAAAGGAACACTGAGAAAAGAGTTTTTTACATGGTCAGAATTGGCTAAGATTGGATTAAATTTAATTAGGTAAATGGATTTTGTTATTAAGAGTAGGCTGATACAGGACTGGAATTGGTTTCTCTCTCTGTTAAGAGAACAAAGTTTTCTTGGAATGCTGCTTTTGATAACAAACTGTGTGAGGTTCTTTGCCTTAAAGTGATCTGTATTTGCTTTTGAAATCTTTTGTCACTTTGGTTGAGTGAATAAGTTTTGTTTCACATAACCTGTGATCCTATTTGACCAAGTGTTTTGAAACCTTTTTGATATTTTTGACAAACTTCCCAAATATCAAATTCTAATTGATGTTCTTTTGACCTCCAGCTAACTCTGGTATGCTTCAGAGGAATGCTGAGGCATCTCAGAGATTAAATTAACTAGGATTATGTGATAAGTTAAATTACATGGGAAGCATTGTCAAATGAATGATAAGCCTTCTCAGGTTATACTGTGTGGGTAAATGTTATTAATATAGATATTCTAAAAGCAATATGGAATTCCTAAAAATATGGTATATCCTAATAAAATGTTATCAGTCATAATTCTAGTTATTATAACCAAATTTCTTTGTCAGTTGCATTGACAGGAGTCTTAATCATACAAGACTCGGATCCAAAACTTAGAACACGGGAATATTTCCAATTTGGTGTCCATTCCTCAAATTGAGGCAGGACTACACCCCATTTCAGCAGGAAGTAGCCAGAGCAGTTGTTGCCCTGTTCTCTCAAAGATTTGGGGAAGGTTGAAACAGGAGTGGGGATTGAAACCAAGTTGCTGCAAAACTGAGTTCCTCTGCCAAGTTTATGATTAACCTCTATATCCAAAATGTTATCCCCTTTCTTGTCCAACACCTGTTCCCCTCAAGACTGAGGAGTATTAAAGAAAAGGAGGGATTAAGATGAGCATAACCCTGTGGGCCCTACTGGTACAAAAGCCTTTCCATGTCCTCTGTTTCTTATTGGTAGGTAAAAGGCTGCAGCTTCCTAGACCTTCCCTGATTTCCAAAGGGCAGTTTCAAGCAGTTATTAATCATGGAAGTGAGGGAATGCAGAAACAAAGAGAAAGCGTCAAACAATAGTAGAATGATAAAGCAGAGTCCTAGCTCCTCCTCAAGGGATATACATAACAATATGTCCTTGAGTTCTTCCACAGGAACTAAGGCCCTCACCCAGGTGGAGGATGGTAACTTCAGGCTGAGCACAAGATTCCTGAAACACCACCCTGTTACCTCACCATTAACTAATCAGAAGAGAGTCACACACCCTGTAGCCCTCATCCCAAATTTTGCCATTAAAAACTCTTCCCCCCCCAAACCTTCGAGCACAAGCCACCTGTTCTTGCTTGGCCCTGAAATAAACCTTTCTCTGCTCCAAACTCTGGAGTTTTGGTTTGTTTGGCCTCACTGAGCATCAGGCACACAAACTTGGGTTCAACAATAAGAGCTTGAGGGGATGTTGACTCTAACAAGGAATGCATGAGACAAACTGTCATCCAGGGAGGGCTCACCATGCACCAGATACATGAACTATTTTATGTGATCTTCCCTCAAACTATCTGTTTGCAGATGACATGATCTCGAATTGAGAAAATCCTCAGGAATGTACCAAAAAACTATTAAACTAATAAACGAGGTCAGCAAATTTGCAGAATACAAGATCAATGTACCAAAAAAATACAGATTGTACATAAAATATACAAAAAAAAGTACGTGGACTGAATGAATGCAAAGCAGTGTTCACAGTGCTTGGCACTTGTGGCAGGAAGCAAGAAGGATGGGGGCATGTGGTTAAGGAGGCTACGGTGTTTCCCTCTGAATACTCCTGCATTGTTTGAACCTTTTATGAGGAGTATGCATTAATATATTACTTGTGTGGTAAAAACATCAGTAATTGGTCACCTCCTCCAAACTTCTCCCTAAAATGCAATAAAGAAAATAAGACTGGCCTTAATTCAGATCATGATAGGGATGTGGTTTTTAAAATGTATGTTTATATACTTGCAACGAATAATCCAAAAGTGAAATTAAGAAAATAATTTCATATATAATAGCACCAAAAAATAAAGAAAGAATACATTTAACTAAAGAAATGTCAACCTTGAACACTGAAAACTATAAAATATTGTTGAAAGAAATTAGGAAGACCTAAATAAATGAAGACAATCCATGTTCATGGATTGGAAGGCTTAATATTTTTAAGATGGCAATACTCCCTAATTATTCTATAGATCCAACACAATCCCTATAAAATTCCAAGTGCCTTTTTGGCCAGAACTGACAAGCTGATCTTAAAATTCGTATGGAAATGCAAGGGACCCAGTATAGCCAAAACAATCTTGAAAAAGAAGGACCAAGTTGGAGGACTCACACTTACCCATTTCAAATTTACTGCAAAGCTACAGTATCAAGAAAGTGTGGTACTGGCAAAAGAATAGGCATATAGACCAATGAAATAGATTTGAGATCCCAGAAATTAACTTTCATGTTTATAGTCCATTGATTTTCAGCAAGGGTGCCAAGACAATTAAATGGGGAAAGAACAGTTTTTTAAATAGATGGTACTGAGACAACTGGATACTTATATGTAAAAGATCACTTCCTCACACCATACATAAAAATTAACTCAAATGAACGCTAAACCTGATTGTTAGAGCTAAAACTATAAAACTCTTAGAAAAAAATATAGGCATGAACATTCATGACCTTGGATTAGAACAAGCATTCTTAGATATGACACAAAAAGTGTAAGCAACAAAAGAAAAAAAGATAAAGCATATTTCATCAAAATTAAAAACTATTGTGCTTCAAAGTATACTACCAAGGAAGTGAAAAGACAACTTACAGAATAGGAGAAAATATTTGTAAATCATATATCTGATAAGGGACTTGTATCTAGAGTATATAAAAAACACATCATTCAATAACAAAAAGACAAATAACCTAATTAAAAAATAGGGGGGCTTCCCTGGTGGCGCAGTGGTTGAGAGTCCGCCTGCTGATGCAGGGGACATGGGTTCGTGCCCTGGTCTGGGAAGATCCCACATGCTGCAGAGCGGCTGGGCCCGTGAGCCATGGCCACTGAGCCTGTGCATCCGGAGCCTGTGCTCCACAACGGGAGAGGCCACAACAGTGAGAGGCCCGCGTACTGCAAAAAAATATAAAAAATAAAAAAAAAAAATTGGGAAAGGATCTGAATAGACATCTCTCTGAAGAAGATATACACATGATCAATAAGCAGATGAAAAGAGGTGTCAATATCATTAACCATCAGGGAAATGCAAATCAAAACCATAATGAGATACTACTTCACACATTAGGATGGCTAGAATTTTTTAAAAAGACATTATAACATGTGTTTTAAGGCACTTTTATACACTATTGGTGAGAATTGTAATGGGGCTATTTTGGAAAAGTATGGCTGTTCCTCAAAAAGACAAACATAGAGTTACCATATGACCCAGAAATTCCACTCCTAAGTATGTACCCAAGAGAAATGAAAACATATGTCCACATTAAAACTTTTACACAAATGTTTATAGCTATATTATTCATAACAGCCAAAAAGTGGAAACAATGCAAATACCCATCAATTAATGAATGGATCAATCAAATGTGATATATCTATATAATGGAAGATTGTTTGACCATAAAAGGAAATAAAGAACTTATACATGCTACAACATGGCTGAACCTTGAAAATATAGTAAGAGAAAGAAACCAGTCACAAAGACCATGTATTATATGACTCCATTTATAAGAAATGTCCAGGATAGGCAAATTCATAGAGACAGAAAATACATTAGTGGTTGCCTAGTGCTGAAGAATTGGGAGGAAATGTGGAATGATTGCTCATGGGTTCAGGGTTTATTTTGGGGTGTTGAAATGTTCTAAAATTGATTGTGGTGATGATTATACAACTCTAAATACACCAAAAACTATTGAATTATACACTTTAATGGGTGAATTGTGTGGTATGTTAATTATATCCCAATAAAAATGTTATAGTAAAAGAAAATAATTTATCAGTGAAAACATCAGGGCTTGGAGATTTTTAAAATACAGTTTTAAACTAAAAGTTCAATTTTTAAAATTGTTATAGGACTGAGTTATCTTTCATGTTGTGGCTTAGTTTTGATAGTTTGTGGTTTTTGAGGATTTAACCTATTTCATGTAGTCTGTCCAATTCATTTTCATAGAAATATTATTGTTTTCATGTCTGTGAGGTCTACAGTTCTATTCACTTTTTCATTCTTGATTTAGTAATTTCTGTCTTCTCTCTTTTTCTGTTTGTCAGTCTGACTAGAGGTACATCAATTGTATTGGTCTTTCAAAGAACCACCTTTTGGTTTCATTGATTTTTTTCTGTTTGTCTATTTTCAATTTCATTAGTAACTGATCTTTATTATTTCTATCTCCTACTCGCTTTGGGTTTATTTTGCTCCCCCTCCTCCTCACCCCCTCCCCCAGTTTCTTATGGGAGAAGCTTAGGTGGTTGCTTTAAGACATTTCTTATTTTGTAATATAAGCATTTAATGCAATAAATTCCCCTCCCACTTTAGCTACACCCCACAATTTTGATATGTTATATATTAATTTTCTTTCTTTTTAATGTATTTTCTAATTTCCTTTGAGATTCCTTTTTAAAAGTGTGCTGTTTCTTTGCTAGTGTTTGGAAAATTTTCAATTGTCTTTCTGTTACTGATTTCTAGTTTAATTTCATTAGAGTCAGAAAGCATATTTTGTATGATTTCAATCCTTTTAAGTTTGTTAAGGTTTGATTTATGACTCACAATATAGTCTATCTTGATAAATGCTCCATATGCACTTGAAAAGAATGTGTGGAGTGTTCCATAAATATCAGTTAATTCAAGCTAGTTGATGGTGTTGTTCAGTTCTATCCTTGCTAATTTTCTGTAACTTTTTCTATATATTACATAGAGAGGAGTGCTGCAGCTTCCAAGTATAATTGTGGATATGTCTACTACTTTTCTGCTATGACAATTTTTGCTTCATATATTTTGAAGCTCCTATTCTCAGGTGTTTATACATTTAGAAATGTTAGAAATACATTTAGAATTGTTATGAGTGGATTGATTCTTCTAACAATGTGTAATGTCTCTCTCTAACTCTGCTAATTTCTTTGCTCTGAAGTTTACTTTGATATTTAGTCACCCTTGCTTTGGTTTGTTAGGGTTTCCATGGTATAGTTTTTTTCATACTTTTTCTTTTTAACCTACCTATATCATAATATGGGAAGAGAGTTTCTTGTAGACAGCAGGTGCTTGGGTCATTTTTTAAAAATCCATTCTGCCAATCTCTATCTTGAATTGGTGTGTTTATGTTGTTTACATTTAATGTAATTATTGATATGACCATTTTATTATTTGTTTTCGGTTTGTTCCCTCTATTTTTCATTCTTCTGTTTCCCCTTTCCTACCTTTGTTTAGGTTACTTAAAAAAACATTTTTTGGTATTCCATTTTAAGTTATCTAGTATGGTTTTGACATTATCTCTTCATATAATTTTTTTCAGTTTTGGGAGAGACAATTCTCTTTGAGCTTCTTGCTCTCCTGCATCTCCTACTGTGTGTGCCAAAACTGTAAAGTCCTGACCCCTGTTTTGCCTGGGCCATTTCTCAGCACTGCGTGGGTGCCCAAAGCACAGAGGATGCAGGTCGGAAGGTGGTGGCCTGTGCAGAGGAAGAAAGAAGCCCCTGGGCCCACGCACCAGACGCTGGGAGCAATAAGTGGCATGCTCAGGTGTAGACCCTGGAGAACTGGAGAAAAGAGGCTGACATTGTTTCCTTTCTGCTGCTCCCACCGTCCCCCAGGGGCTAGCCTCCACCGCCCCCTGTGCTCCATGAACTGCCAGCCAGGGGTTAACGTGTTGTTCTGGTGTTAGGGACTCACATCACTGTAGTCCCTGACTCTTGTGCATGTTAGACTCCTTGGTTCATGTTCTCATGGAGTAAAAAGGCTCCCGAATTCAAACGATTGGGTTTTGGTGAAGTTTGCAGAAGGGAAGGAAATCCTAAGGGGCCTTTGGGCAGGGTCCTGTGGGCCATTCACTGTACTGTTGTGGCTTCCACCACTGAACGGATGGTAAGTACCGAGGGTTCTAGTCTGTCTTCCTGTCAGGTGAGTGGCAGAGGGGATTCTCCCATCCGGGATCGCTGCGTGTACAGAAGTGCTGGAGGTACGTGTAGAATGCAACCTCCCCTCTATCGTTTCCTCCCTAAACCATCCCTGGTGGTCCGGCAGAGACAATACAGAATTCCTGCAAGAGGAGAAATCAGTTTTAAAGATTTAATGGCCGGCAGACTATGCCGGGGCATTTCCTGGTATAACAGCGCCACCTGCCGGACAAGCCACCGGTGGCCTTTTGGTTTTGTTTTTGAGCAAGTTATTACCAAGCTCTTGTGGAAACTGCATGTCTGACCCGTGCATGGCTTGTGGCTCTTTGGCCTGAATGCCCATTTTGAGGCGTATCAAATCAGACTCAATGACTAACAAGGTGGAAAGAGCCCAAAAGATCTCTCTGTTCAAAAGGAAATGGCACATATATTCAAGAACCAGGTTGCCTGGCCCTCCTGGCATCTCACCTTCACATAAAATGGGGCGTTGACACCTTTAGGGGAAACAGTATCCCCTGCCATGTCCCCTAAAGCAAAGCCACTGACCCAAAGGGGCCCTGGCTTCACAAAGAAACCCCTAAACTCTTGGGCCTGGTGCACTGGTGGTTTAGCTAAGTTGATGGCGTCAGCACTGTTGCAGCTGCTCAGCACCATATCCATCAGGCAGAAAGTGACCGCGATTGTTCTCTCAAGGGCCAGAGCTCACCACAGTCCTAATCGTACTGGCCAGTCCTCCCCTGAGCCTGAGTTGCTGATGGGCCACCACCTGGCCTGCTACTGGGGAGATTCTGGACTGGCAGATTACAGACACCCCTCTGTGGGGCAGTAACTCGGGGAAACATATTGCCACTGCTGATGGGACAGTGGTGCCACTGATGCAGATGTATTCAGTAAGGATTCTCTGATGAGACCACTGGAAGCAAACTGCTGATCAAGCCTTCATTGCCCAGATCACAGCCATCACTACCCGCGTCCACTTGCAGATATCCGGCAGCCTGGAGCCAAGGCTCAGAGACATGGCGGATTCCCTTCCAGACCACCACAATAAAGTGAATATTGCAATAAAGCAAGTCACATGAATTTTTTTGTTTTCCAGTGCATATAAAAGTTATGTTGACTCTATACTGTCACATATTAGGTATGCAATAGCATTATGTTTAAAAAACAATGCACATACCTTAATCAAAACATACTTCATTGGTAAAAAAAAATGTTAAGCATCATCTGATAACACAGAGTCATCACAAACCTTCAATTTATAAAAGAAAAAACCCTGCAATATCTTCGAAGGGCAATAAAACAAGGTATGCTGTACTGGAGAACAAAAGTAGTGAACTCACTGCTAGTGCCTGGGTGCTTCAAATTCTGCTCTCCTTCCCCAATCCCCCTGCTGCTATGTACTTCTCAGAGTCTTCAGATAGCTGCTCCATGCCTGCTGTCCGGGGGTACAGTTGTATTGAGTGGGACAGACAGGGTGGCATGTGCTTACTCCATCTCACCCAGAACTGGAACCCAGGGAAAGCTTTGAACAGGTGGAGATAGGGGAGCCCCCCACTCCCCAGCACCAGGGCAAAGGCATAGAGCTGGGAACGCAGGACAGGCTGGGTCCTGAGCCCTGCAGGAGAGCAGAGGGAGAGAAATTTGGCAGAAGGGTGAGTGCTGTGGGCCCAGGTGTGCAGCCATCATGGGGGAGCCACTGAGGGGACCCAAGCCGAGACAGCCAAGACAGGAGCTGGGCTTCAGGCCTCAAATGTGCTGTTGCCCTCACCTGGAACGCTCCTTCTTCTGCACTTCACCCAGCCAACTCTTTCTCATCCTCAGGTGTCAGCTGAAATCTCACTTCCTCAGGGAAGCCTACCTGACCATAGATCCCACAGAATTCTGTACTTTTCCCTCCTGGTCCTTATCATGGTGGCAATTGTTAATTAAGCATTTGCAATTGTTTAATTCACACCAGTTTCCCCTACTGGACTGTGGGAACATGAGGGCAACATCCACATAGATCTCGTTAATTGCTTAGGTGGATCAGTCAGTCAGCAAACCTGTAGGGAGAACCTGCTCTGTGCCCACCATTGTCCTGGGCACCAGTGTTCCCAAGGACAAGGTGTCGACCTTGCCCACTGTTGTCTGCCTGTTGCCGGCACAAACGCTGAGCCCAGTGTTAAATGACTGACTGCCCAAAGGTGGTTCTGGCTGTGTGTGTGTGTGTGTGTGTGTGTTTAAAGGGAGAAGGGGTCGGTGGCAGAGAGGCCAGGAGGCCCCAACCAGGCTGTAGCCGGGGCCTGAGGGGCAGGGCTGGAGTCTAGAGTGGAGGCAGACACTGCCTGGACCGTTTCGAGACCTTGGGGATGAGGGAGTCCCAACATGCGACCTTCTGATGATGTTCGTTAACCTCCTGCAGGCTGCCTGGTGCTCTTCCGCCAGCCCCTGGGGAGCTGTCGGGGCTGAGCACCTCCTGGGCCAGGCCCGGAGCAGCGCGGTCCCCATGGGGCTACAGCCGGCAGAGTCTTGAGACTCCTTCGGCTACCTAGCGACTGGCGGAGTGAAGGGCCAGGACAGGGACCTCAGGCCTGTCCGCTTTGAAGCTCCCCGACCTCTAGGGTGCCCCTGTGCTCCTCAGGGACCACCCTGGGGAAGGGACATCTGGTTGGGAGGCCGCCTCAGTCAGTTCCTTCATCATCCTCTGCCTTCCACACCCAGGTCCTCCTCACGCTGTCTCCTTGGAACGAAGGAATACACGCATCTGCGCCCCAGGCAGTCTCCTCCCGCCACACACACCCCCCCTCCGTGCACAGTGGCTCCGGCAAGTGTCACGGGGAGTAGAGCCTGTGGGGAGGGCCCCCACCAGGGACCCTGTACCTACCGGCCCCAACTCCAACGGCCCTGGACGTGGTCCCTGATCCCCAGAGACACCGCGGGCAGGTGAGGAGAAGGCCTCTCCTTCTCTCTCAGAATCTGGGACTTTTTCACAGCTCAGTAGGGCCCCAGTTGAGCCTTTCAAGCTCACTGGAGCCTCAGGGTCCTTATTGAAAGCAGGAGTTTGGCATAGACAAGCCCTCCCTATTGCATCCATCGGTATTTCCCCCAGAGGGCGCTCTGCTCACAGAATCCGGCACCTTCATCTTGCATATCCGGCCGGAGTCACCTCTGGTGAGAAAGGCTCGGCGAGACGCGGGAGACTCGCCTAAGTTTGTTTAACCCGTAGTTCCCCAGACCTACGTAACCGGGATGTACATTTTCCACAGAACACCTTTTACGATGCCATGGAATCCAGACTGGGAAACTCCTCGAAGGACTTTTTTCCATTTTAGGCTTGTAGAGTTGGGTCCTTCCCTCCCATCCCCCTCAGGACCGGGTTCTGACTCCTCCCGACCTAAGCTCATGCTCCCATGGGGCCTGTGCAAGGGCTGCGCAGAGCCTGATCCGCCGTGGCCTCCGCACGAGCCTAGATCAGCTGCTCATTGTTAAGCTAAGGTTGCACCTCCTCCCCCAGGATAAAAGGGGGTGGGGGTGGGGAGTCCGATTTCCGTAAGGGCAGGGATTGGTTAAACGCGTTTCTCCAGGAACTACTGTGTGCCAGGCACTGACTGAGTGGTCACTTTGGGGCACGTTTTCTGCGCTAAGAAGTTCTCACTGCTTTGGGAAGTGCATTATTGATCCAGGAAAGACATTGCCCCCTTCTGCCTCACCCTTTCTGTAGATCAACCGCACCTGGGCCTCATTCTCCAGCACCTCCCACCTCAGGCAGCGCAGGGCAGGGGTCTGGGCCAGGCGGAGAAAGGACAAACACAGTGACACACGCGGGATGGGGTGGGAGTGGGGCTTGGAGCTTGGGAGCAGAGGTGACGGTTCACTGCAGTCCTGGGGTCTGCCCCCAGCTCCCCACGCCCCTCACTCCAGTCTCTCTCACTGAGGTCCTGATAAATTGACATCTTTCACAAAAGCCAATTCCTCCAGAAGCTCTGACTCCTCGCTTCTCACTGCTAAAAATAGGTGGAGAGCTGTAAAAACCGCACACCTAGAGACAATTCTAGTCATTTTGGTAGATATTTGCTCTAAAGATCTGCAATGTCTGTCGTTATTAAAACCGGGTGTTCCTTGGCAAACTCATTTCTTTTAAAAGCAGATTCACAGCCTTCAATAAAATAAATTTCTTATTTCCAGTGGGTTCGGAGACATTCAGAGGTGTTACTACAAAGCCGTGACGATCCTCACCATCGGAATCCAAGGTTCTTGTTAAGGTGACAAGCAACACGCAACTCGGGGGGTCTGCTGGAGTCTCTCCAGTTCATCCGGAGGGGTGATGGGCCCGGGGTTTCCAGGGTTAACTAAGAGCCTTGGGCCTCGCTGAGGGTGTGGCCCCAGTGGGCCAGGCTATGGAGCGACCAAATTCTTCTGGGTTCCCTGCGACTCTGAGAACTGGGGTCTGGTTGATAGGTGGCGTGAGCCAGACTCTTTAAGAAGGAGTCTGGGAGGCAGGGCCTGCAGCCCCTGGGGAACCCAGGTGTTTTCATTCCAGGACCAACCGTCTCCCGGTAGATCTCTCGAGATTCTACGAGATCGGGCTTCCTCGGGGAAGAGAGCTGAAAGGAGCAGAGCGTTGGGCCCTGTGCAGCCATTCGCTGCGCCTCCCCTGTCGCTCGGTGGCTTCCAGCCCATCCTCTGCCCGCTCCTCCATCAGGCCCCGCACTTAACCGCCACGCAACCTAAGGCGCACAGCGCACCTTTGGGGCTCCTGTTTGCCTTCCTGGGAAGCCCCACACGGCATCCCTCCCTCCCCAGGCCCTATCCTTGGCCCTCAGGTGTCCGTCGTGGTGTTCAAAGAGGAGAACATTTCCTGATGGAGGGGCTTGGGTGAAGGGGCCAGCTCTCCCACCGCAGGGCGCTGGCAGTTGCGCCGGTTTCAAAGAGAAAGCAATGCATTCGGGCTGTTCTGCAGAGAAAAGGCTCCAGGAGTAGGCGAGGATGTTTCCTGGGACGAATTCGGGACACCTCACAGCTGCTGGCAGGAACAACCGGCCCCAAGGATGTAGGTGAGTGCCTGGGATTTTTTTTTTTTTCCTGCATATGTCTGTGAGTGAGGGAGTGTGTGTGTGTGTTTGCACGTGTTTCTTTTCTTTCCCCAAAAACCTACTGCGAGAAGTGCACTAAAGTGACTAAGCTCTAGTTCTTTCTGGATAAGAGTGTTCAGGATGGGTAGCCCAAGGTGCATTAGGACCAGCTGTAACCTGTCTACTGGTTCGTATGCCTTGGGTTCTGAGAGTAAGGGCCATTTTTTCCCTTGGGACTGGTTTGTGCTGTGAAGAATGAGATTGGCTGCAGCTGTGCAGTGGAAGATGGCCAAGGGTGACAACACCAGGTATTATCAGGCGGGCTCCCATTCAGTTGCTCTGAGATTCCTTATTTTCTGATTTGAGAATATAACAGTGTGTCAGGTTGCTGCAGGCTTTCACCTTTCCAGACGTAGGCCTTGTGCCACTGGAGCCTGTGCTGGTATCCTGGGCTTTGGTCCCTGGGGCTCTGGGACTCCTGGAAAGTGATAGGCTCCCAGTATTTATGTGTGAAGTTCTGTCCCCTGAGTCTCAGATATTCCTGCCCTTGTACCTCCTTTGGGACAAAGCCTGGGCCCTCCTTTCTGGGCCCCTGGGAAGAGCCACCATTACAGTGTGACTCTGATTGGTGGCATGAGCCAGACTCTGTACTGAAGAGCCTGGGTAGAGGCACCCAAATGCCTTGTCAACCAGTTGTCTGTTGGCACTGTCCTGTACTTAGCTTCTTGCTTGGAGATACCAGATCAAGAGGTCATCTTGTTAATATGATTGTGGCAAAATTGCTTTGACATAGTTTCCTGAGATTGAGCAGACGTGAGTGAAGGTGGGAGTGTGAGGGTGAGAGGGTGGTGGATCCTGATTTGAGGTGACACAGCAGCCCAAATGGGCAAGTAGGCATCTAACACTGAGATTATTTATTCGAGTGGGATGAGGTTTATAGGCAAATAGCAATTATAGTAATAATGATTAGTATAAATATTTATTTATACATATATAACCTTAATAAACATAGACTACCATAAATTATACATCTATGTAAAAAATAAACAAGTATGTGAGCAATTAGAAAAAGGATAACAGGGCTTCCCTGGTGGGACAGTGGTTAAGAATCTGCCTGCCAATGCAGCAGACACGGGTTTGAGCCCTGGTCCGGAAAGATCGCACATGCCGCAGAGCAACTAAGCCCGTGCGCCACAACTACTGAGCCTGCGCTCTAGACCCCGTGAGCCGCAACTACTGAAGCCCGTGTGCCTAGAGCCCATGCTCTGCAATAAGAGAAGCCACCGCAATGAGAAGCCCGCGCACCACTATGAAGAGTAGCCCCCTCTCACCGCAACTAGAGAAAGCTCGTGTACAGCAATGAAGACCCAACACAGCCAAAACATAAATAAATAAATTTATAAAAATATAATAGGAAAATTACCTAATCTGAACAATAAAGAAAAAACAGGTTAAAAAATTAATAACAGACCCTCACAGACCTGTAGGATTATAAACAGATCAAATATTTGTGTCACTGGAGTCTCAGAAGGAGATGAGAAAAAGTATGGGGCTGAAAAGGTATTCAAAAAAATTATAGCTGAAAATATCCCAAATATGACAAAAGATATATGTCTACAGATATAAGAAACTGAGCAAATCCCCAACAGGATAAGCCCAAAGAAAGCCAAATCAAAACATATCATGATAAAAATTCTGCAAACTAAAGACAAAGAAAAAATTCTTTATCAGTGAGAGAGAAGTGACACCTTACCCATAAAGGAAAAATAATTCAAATGACAGTGGATTTCTCATCAGAAATCATAGAGGCCAGAGGAAGTAGCATAACATTTTTCAAGTGCTAAAAGTAAAGAATCATCAACTCACAATTCTATATCCAATGAAAATATGCTTTAGGAAGGAAGGGTAAATTAAGACATTCTCAGATGAAGAAAAACTAAGAGGATCTGTTTCCAGTAGAACTACTCTAAAAGGATAGCTAAAGGAAGTTTTTTTTTTTAACTTTTTATTTTATATTGGAGTATAAGTTGATTAACAATGTTGTGTTAGTTTCAGGTGTACAGGAAAGTGATTTGGTTATCCATATACAGGTATCATTCTTTTTCAAATTCTTTTCCCATTTAGGTTGTTACATAATATTGAGCAGAGTTCCCTGTGCTATACAGTAGGTCCTTGTTGATTATCCATTTTAAATATAGTAGTGTGTACATGTCAATCCCAAACTCCCTAACTATCCCTCCCCCCCAGCCCTTCCCCTCTGGTAACCATAAGTTTGTTCTCTAAGTCTGTGAGTCTGTTTCTGTTTTGTAAATAAGTTCATTTGTATCATTATTTTTAGATTCTGCATATAAGCGATATCATACGATATTTGTCTTTGTCTGACTTACTTCACTCAGTATGGTAATCTCCATGTTGCTGCAAATGGCATTGTTTCATTCTTTTTAATGGCTGAGTAATATTCCAATGGATATGTATACCACATCTTTTTTATCCATTCATCTGTTGATGGACATTGAGGTTGCTTCCAATTAGGTTTCTTGGCTATTGTAAACAGTGCTGCATGCAGTGAACACTGGGGTGCATGTATCCTTTCGGACCATGTCTTTCTCTGGATATATGCCCAGGAGTGGGATTGCAGGATCATATGGTAGCTCTATGTTTAGCTTTTTAAGAAACCTCCATACTGTTCTCCATAGTGACTATACTAATTTACATTCCCATCAGCAGTGTAGGACGGTTCCCTTTTCTCCACACTGTCTCCAGCATTTACTGTTTGTGGATTTTTTTGGTGATGGCCATTCTGACTGATGTGAGGTGATATCTCATTGTAGTTTTGATTTTCATTTTTCTAATAATTAGCAATGTTGAACATCTTTTAATATGCCTCTTGGCCATTTGTATGTCTTCTTTGGAGAAGTATCTATTTAGGTCTTCTGCCCATTTTTTGATTGGGTTGTTTTTATGATATTAAGTTGCATGAGCTGTTTGTAAATTTTGGAGACTAATCTCTTGTCTCACATCATTTGCAAATATTTTCTCCAATTCTGTGGGTTGTCTTTTTGTTTATGGTTTCCTTTGCTGTGCAAAAGCTTTTGAGTTTAATTAGGTCCTATTTGTTTATTTTTGTTTTTATTTCCATTACTCTGGCAGACAGATTGAAAAACATATTGCTGTGATTTATGTCAGAGAGTGTTCTACCTATGTTTTCCTCTAAGAGTTTTATAGTGTCCAGCCTTACATTTAGGTCTTTAATCTATTTTGAGTTTATTTTTTGAAATTAGTGTTCTAATTTCATTTTTTTAACATGTAGCTGTCTAGTTTTCCCAGCACCATTTATTGAAGAGACTGTCTTTCCTCCATTATATAGTCTTGCCTGCTTTGTTGTAGATTAATTGACCATAGGTGCATGGATTTAGTTCTGGGCTTTCTATCCTGTTCCATTGATCTATATTTCTATTTTTGTGTCAGTATCATACTGTTTTGATGACCCCTCTAGGTGGTCACAAAGCACCGAGCTGATCTCCCTGTGCTATGCAGCTGCTTCCCACTAGCTATCTATTTTACATTTGGTAGTATATATAAGTCCATGTCACTCTCTCACTTTGTCGCAGCTTACCTTCCCCCTCCCCGTGTCCTCAAGTCCATTCTCTACATCTGCATCTTTATTCCATCTTCTTTATCCATTCATCTGTCGATGGACAGTTACGTTGCTTCCATGTCCTGGCTACTGTAAATAGAGCTGCAATGAACATTGTGGTACATGACTCTTTTTGAATTATGGTTTTCTCAGGGTATATGCCCAGTAGTGGGATTGCAGGGTCATATGGTAGCTCTATTTTTAGTTTTTTAAGGAACCTCCATACTGTTCTCCATAGTGGCTGTATCAATTTACATTCCCACAACCTGTTGGGGGTTTTTAATCACAGTTTCAATTTCAGTACTTGTTATTGGTCTGTTCATATTTCCCACATGCTGCGCACCACAACTACTGAGCTCACACACCTCAACGAGAGAGCCCGTGTGCCACAACTACAGAGCCCATGCGCCCTGGAGCCCGCGTGCCACAACCAGAAAGAGAAAACCTGCATGCCACAAGTAGAGAGAAACCTGCGCACCACTAGAGAGAAACCCACACGCCACAACTAGAAAGAAGCCCGTGTGCCACAACAAAGAGACTGTGCACCGCAATGAAAGTTACGGCATGCCTCAACGAAGATCCTGCATGCCGCAACTAAGACTCAATGCAGTCAAAAAAATAAAGAAAAAAAAGATAATAACAAGTTTGGATGATGTGGAGAAACTGGATCCCTCATACGTTGCTGGTGGGAATGTAAAATGGTGCAACTGCTTTGAAAAACAGTTTGGCAGGTACTCAGAAAATTAAACATAGAGTTATCATACGACCCAGCAATTTCACTCCTCGGTATATACCCAAGTAAAATGTCCTGCAAAAAAATTTGTACATAAATGTTCATACCTGCATTATTCATAAATAGTCAAAAGTGGAAACAACCCAAATGTCTGTTAACTGATGAATGGATAAATCAGGTGTGGTATATCCACACAATGGAATATTATTTGGCAATAGAAAGGACTGAAATATTGATACATGCTACAACATGGATGAATCTTGAAAATATAAGCTAAATGAAGCCAATCAGAAAACACTATATTCCATTTATATAAAATCTCCAGAATAGGTAAATCTACAGAAAAAAAGTAGATTAGTGGTTGCCTAGGACTTGGGGAGTGATGGCTAAAGAGTATGGGGCTTCTTTCTGAGGTGATAAAAATGTTCTAAAATTGTGATGATGGTTGCACAGCTCTGTTAATATACTAAAAAACTATTGAATTGTACACTTGTAATGAGTAAATTGTATTCTGTGAATTATATCTCAGTAAAGCTGTTACCAAAAAAATAAAAGAATTCGTGAAACATCAGTAAGGAAGAAAGAAAAACAGAAAGAGTAAAACTATGAGTA